ACAAATGGTGATCTGTCCATCTCCTGCCACCTGGGCATGACAGCAGCACTGGGAGAACTCACCCTCCTGCTATGGCAAGAACAGAGCATCAGGGTGGCAGGAGTCTGCCTCACTGTCCCTGGGGTTCCTATTGACTTTCTGCTCCCTCACTTCAGACTACAACACAAACAGCAGCTTACCAAACACAGAAGGCTTAGAGAGGCAGATGTGCTGAGGTGCCAGGGATGGAGAGGCTGTAACACGCTGAACAGAACCACTCCTGTTCACTTTCCTGTGAGAGTGAATCACTTTGAACTCTGAAACGTGGGCCAAGGATTACAAGGTTCAAGGAAAATGATCAAGATGGAAATAATTAAGCTATCCTTCCCATATTGGCAAGTGCAGGTTTTTATAGCTTTTTATTCTCACTGCAAGTGAGAACAGAATCCAGATTAAATCTTTACTCCCATCTCTCAGGGACCCATTCCCTGCCATGCACATGCCAAGCCCTGAGCAGCACAGGCATCAACCCTGGAACAAGGTGACAGCAGAGCAATGCAGTGACTTTCACATCTGTCAACACTGGCAACCCCACACGTGCGAGCTCCTTGCCACACCATACCTTCAGGGATGTTAGCTTCCACTGAGATCGCCACCCTGCTCTGTGCAGCATGTCCCATCCAGCTCCCGCAAAGGGCTCTGGGGGTAGGGAGCACCTCAAAGAGCCAAACCTCCCTGCACACAGCAGAGTACAAGAGATGTGAGGGTTTAGCAGTCTCCAGCTTCACTTCCAGCTCCCGCAGTCTGTCAAGAAAGCCAAAGGTCAGGAGTCACGCGTTCACTGTACCAACAATCAACAGGTTTGCTGGGTGAGTTACTCCCTGAATCCACTGGGAAAGCCTTCCTATGACTGCTACCTGCACCGTTCACTTGCCCTAATGCACAATTCAGCACACAGAATATTAGCCTTAAAAGATTAGCTGGGGGAGAGGGGAGAGTTCAAGCTTTATTCAGATAAAGTGTCTCTTGGGGGACAAAAACAGAACAAACACCACCATCTTTCATTTCTGGGCCATGAATTTGCATTTCAGAACATTTGGACCCATTAGTTGAGAAGAGAAAAAAAAAACACCCCCAAAAACACCAAAACAAAGAAACAGAGGGCAACATTCAGATTATCTGATTGATTGAAGAGTCTGGTTAACAAATGGGATTTGTGACCTTAAATTGCTAACAATTCTTAACGTTCACATTAAGAGCAAAGTAATTTTGTCTGTAGTAACTTTGCAAAAAAAGTTAATTTTGACCAACAATAACAATATACAGAGTTTCCAGAAAATAAACCCAAACCACACAGAAAGCACATTGCTGTAGCCAAAGGCAAAATCTTAGTATTTTTCAGACTTCATTACTAGTCAGTCTGCACTTGTGTTTAACTCTTCTTTTTGCTAAGTGTCCTCCCCTTGGCATCAGTGTCAGGACAGAGCAGGCAGGCTATGGAAGAGGAGGAGGAAGCCACAGTCCATCTGCTCAATAAGCATCAGCAATGGACAATGTGCAAACTGGTGATGAACCAGGGTGGTCTCTCTCCAATTCTTTCAGGTGCAACAATTTTGCTTCCAAGAGCAAAGCTGAACAGATTGCAAAGCACTGTTTCTGCAAAAAGGTCAATCTTTTTGGCTCTTTTGAGCCCCTTGATAACATCTCTCTTACTAATGTGCAAGGCAAGCTACTCCAGTTACATCAGCACCACACCAAAAGCAAGACTATGGTAAAATTTGCTATGCACTCATGTAAGACCCATTTTAAAATGCTAAGCTTCTAATAAGCCCTGACTCTGCACAAACCTCAACATTTGCTCAGTATCCCACCCATCAATAACCTGGCGAAATGTAAAACAAATTGCATATCACTGAGGAATTCATCTGTGATACGCAGAAGAGGATGCTTCAGAGTGTAAACGCATTAATTGACTAATAGATAGAAATAATCCAGAAGGTTTTAGTGATTTCCTATCATAGTTCTAAATGGACTTACTCCCTTGTTGAAAGTAATCTTGCTCAGAATTGCAGAAGTGCTCCAGAAGAGGCAGACCATGTGGAGATCCCACAGCAGGAGCAGGCCAGGCACAGTGATGTGAGCCTCCTTGCACACTGGTGGTGGCTGAGGTCGGATGCTCAGAGCTCACCTCTCCAGGCTCCTTGCCCTCTCTGAACAGGATCTGAAAACCAAGCTGCAGCAGCCCAGATCTCCTTCGGTGGAGCAGGAAAAGCCAAGGGGGACAAAGTAAAACAGGAGAGATAAAGCCAAGCTATAAGGGACTGCAAGGTCGTGCCGCCCTCTGGTGACCACCGGGACATTTTGACAGTCTTCAACAGAAGAAGCGAGGGCCATGGAACAAATTATCCCTGTTCCTGCTCCCACCAGCCCTAGCTCAGGCTCCCCAGCCGGGGTGCCAGGCTGCTGCTGGGGAATCTCTGCCGGTACACTACAGGAGCAAAGACATAATGTGAATTCCAGTATCGGTAGGGGATGGTTTCTAATTGCCATGCATTGATTAGGCCACCTTCCTACCAAGCCAGTGCCACTCCTTTAGCCATGCCTTATGCAGTCTCCTTGTATTGGAATCCCACTGAGTCCCAGTAAGCACCACCTGGGCAGAGTTGTGTTGATGAGGTGCTTAAGGAAACCAGAGAGGGCTTCCCCACATAAACATCAATCTCAGGGTAAACCAAGCACAGCTGCTCATTCCTCATAGGAAAGCCTATGACCAGACAGGACTACAAGCAAAATTAAAACATGAGCAAACTGATGATTTGGCTCAGCTTTGATAAGTTCTGGCATGTGCCCTGCTATGGGCAGGGGCCTGGGGAGGTTTTCCCCTCCACATTGCTGCTGTTACCCATGCACAGCTTCCCTGGTAATGTAATTACCAGGGTATGGTAATTACCCAGGGCATGGGTAACAAGTGTGGTCTCATCCCTGCAGAATCTTTCTGCACTTGGTCATCTCTGTCATGGACCTGTAACAAGAAATTCAAGGCTGTTTATTACCTCTACAGAGCTCAAGAGTGCTGATCCCCTATAGCAATGGCTCAGCATACCCACACCAAATCCTTGCTCCAGTCCTTGTGCCAAGAAAACATCAGCGTGACTGGCTAGAACATGTGAACAGCACTGACATGTATGTGTAATAGCAGTGATGCTCTTCTAGCGGGGGAGGGGGGGGGGAAATAATTTGTACCTCACCATGGTGCTTCCACCACCATGTATTATCTCAGAGATGCACACACGCAAATCAAATGTCTAAAGCATTCCATCAGCAAAGGAGAATTCAGCTGTGAAAGAAAATCTTTTAATTTGTTCCAAACTCACAGGCTATATAAAAAGCCTTTCTCTGAGTGCTAACAGGATTCTGATAGAGAGGTTCCATTGGCTGAGGGTACTGCCTCCCACCCGTGCAGCCAGGTCTGGGGAGATCCCATGGACCAACACTCCTTTCTGCCACCATGGCCAGCCACAAGTACAGCGTGCACAGTACTTTAAATCCACACATCAGATTGCCTATGCACCTTTCAGTGTTTTAATTCATAAATTTTGAAGTTAATTTTCTTTTCACTGGTATTAAATAGATGAAAATAAAATTCAGATTCAAACACACAGAACAACTTCAGCTGATAAACAGTATTAAGGTAATATTTTAGTAGGAAAAAAAGCCTGGTTTATGCATCAAAAAAAAAATCTGCTTTCTCTACAGAAAACTTAAAACACTTCATTAAAGGCAGGACATCTGCTTTTCCCCTTGCTATCTTTCCCTTGGCTGGCTTTCAACAAGGAAGAAGAGACTCTTTCCCTTTTGAAAGCCTTTTTGCACCTTTTCAAACCAGATTAAAATACATGCTGCTGTTAGCAGGATTACTCACCTGCACGTGTTCATGGTGTGCGCCCTACAGAGCGGGCTTAACAAGCTGAAGCACCACTCAACCAACAAGCACTTGCAAGGAATACCATTATTTTAAATGACTACCATTGGCATTTATTGTAGGCAGTCTGCAAACATCAAATAAGCTCAAGGTATTTTGCTTGCCCAAACACGGAACTTTTCAGTTGTGTTCTCCTGTGCCCATGGGCAGTTTGCTTTGGGAAGTGCCTGTTTGCTGAGGTACAAGCCAGACCAGGAGAAGTGGTGGCTCTACAAAACATCAAGGTTTGGCAGAGGAACAAAGTCCAGTTTTGGCTTCTCAAATCACTCAAGACCATTTATCTTCAACAAATCAGTCTGATGCTCATTTCCACTGGTGCTCTCTGCCTTCCCAATCAATTACACTCTACTTAAAGAGGGCCATCTTTTTCAATAACCATCTTCAAAGTTGAAAGGCCAAATAACTCTTTTTTTGTGAGGCTCTTCCAGAACCAACTGTAACATTGTGGTGGGGAAATAATTACTTTCTAAGATATGTGACATGCTTTTAAGTGTACCAGCACCAAGCACATCTCACATGACAAAAAGCTATGGGAAGGTGAATCAAGACAATAAACTACAACAGCCAAAATCCCTTTCTGAGGACATTAACATCCTCTGCCAGAAGAAATAATGATTAAAAACCCCCACTGCTGATAAGACACAGGAAACTTTATTCAACTGGAGACATGAAAACTCATGAAAATTACCTGCATCCTGCCAGCTAAAACCTTAGGGCAAGCTACATCTTTAGTGATATAAACCCACTTAAGATTTTACAGCTTTAGATGATGGCTGCCACACTAAAGGATTGCCATGAATCAAAAAAAAAAAACAAAAACACCCCCCCCCAAAATCACCAAATAAACAAAAAAAACCCCAAACAAAATCCTACCTCCACCACCTGAGTGTATTTCTGCCTATTCTTTCAGATTAAAACCACCTCTCAACTAGAAATCTTCAAACACCAGCTGAAATCTAGTCAATATAAAAATAATTTTCTTCTCTCCTGTGTAAGCCAAGAGCAGTGATACAGAACAAACCATCACAAGGCTTGTACCCAAGTCATAAACAAGAAAGGAAAAAGCTGGAATTTTAATTTATCTTAAAAATTGTTTCCCCTCTTCCCAAAAAGATACCAAATCAATCAAATATTACTCCGATTGTCTTTCAGACATACTATCCACTTAAGTCACAAGACACAAGAGACAGAATTCCAAGGATTTCTCTGAAGCACGGTTGACTTCTTGTAGGAAAGATTTGACTCAAAGAATCCCACTGTAGCCATCAACAGCTTTAGATCTACTTCCCCTGAATATTTCTTATCAGCTTCATAAAGCTAAATTATGTTTAAATGTTTAATGGAAATTAAATGGAATTTAATGGATATCTAAAAGTTTAAATGAATGGAAAACTGCACATTTAAAAGAAAAATCACATTCCATACTGGTAATAATTTAATAGAATTTTAAAAATTCCCCATTTCCATTGTATCAACAGCTTTGTGAAACTCTACAGCTCCTTTTGCAGCATCTCAGAACAGCCACGGAGGAAAGTCTAGGGACGATGCTGCCCCCAGGTTTGCACACACTTGCTGGTAACAATCAGCAAAGCTGGTTCCCTGCTGAGAGCAGCTGTTTCTTTCCCTCTTCATATTCCCAGAAATGCAAAAGTGTACTTTTAACCTGCACATTTAGAAACGTCCATCCCAACTACCCAATACTTGAAGTGTTCAGAGCAGAAACTGCACTTTTATATATATAAATATAAATTAGACATATTTACACCTCAGCAGGACCCACCATACATCAATATTGGGCCTATCTGAATTACTACAGGAAAAAAAGAAATGCGATGCTCATTGTTAGGAAAAGTGACATTTTAACAGCAGCTTTTTCACCCCTAGATGTTTCAAAGACCTCCTCTTGGGCTGCTCACTGAAAATAATGGACAACATAAATAATTTCTATACAGTTTTCAAAAAGCCATTCTCCAGGTCTCAATCCCTACAGTGAAATACAAATGACACACTTGCACACCAGTGCAATTTGCCAGGTGAGGTACAGAAGTGTGCCTGCAGGGAACTGGAGAAGAAGCAAGCCTCCTTCCCTTTTAGAAAGTGTTAAGCAAAACCAAGCAAACCAACCAACCCCAAATTAAAGTTTCTCACATCTCATTGTAAGTACAAAGAAACAATATGCAAATTTGTACACATTCATGGTGAACTGCTGTCCATGTAAACAACCCAATGAAAAGTCACGTACAAGCAGTTGAGACCAGAATTCACATCCTGCTTCACAGGAGTCACCAGCTTCAACATCATTTGCTTTCTTCCTCCTACCCATTTTAAAACTTTAGGACATATAACTCCTGGTGTGGTGTGTCAGCACCCAAACATCTTCTGTATCAAAACCTCAACTTACTTCACACAAGCCTTTAACATATACTCTGCATACATACGCTTTGCTTGGTGCTCTGCAGATAACCTTCCCTGCAGAGTGGTAACATCCCTGCTGCAAACCAGTTCTGACTGCTCTCCAGGATTTCTAACTCTAATCTATGGTCACACAAAAAGATTTTTAACTATCCAGTGTAAACACTCTCCCTTTCATGAGATATATGGATTAGTCAGCATAACTATGGTGTTGAAGGCATTTGGCTGAAACACTATTTCTTGGTGTATGAAGGGATAAAACAAATGGACAATGCATGAATACGAGCAAAGGCAGTTCCCTTTGCCCAGCTCCAACTGACTGCAAAATGGATCCAATATTTTTTTGCTGAAATCTAATTTCAAATTGAAAGCTCAGTCGTATGATGCCCTTTATATACATTTCACCACTCTAGAAGTGAATGGAAAAGGTGTCAAACACACTTCTTCAATAGCCAACATGTAATGGCAATGAAGGTCTATTATTTCATAAGGCATATTCATCTTCAGTGAGAATCCAAGCACAAGCAAGAATTCTGCCAAGTTGCATGATCCTATGACTTCATCTTCATCTATCCAACATCTTGAAATTTCAGGATCTCCCGCTCTGTTCCTCAGGCAGAATAATCCCTGTCACAGTGGGCATTTTTTTATTTAACACAACTGAAGAGCAGGGCTAAATAAAAAAACCCTTAGCAGCTGGACCTCTGTAACTTTCAAAAGGAGGGACATACAAATGACCAATTTTTGCAGTTCTCTGGCTTTATCCCATAACCTGCCTTTTTACAATATATCTCTGTATATATAAATTAGAAAGAGATAAAGCCAATGATTAACTGCAGCGTTCATGAAAAAAAACTCCAGTCTATGTTACACAGTCTCTTCTGACAGGAGATCACTGAGGTGTAAAGGTGAGAATCATCCAGCTTATAACAAAGTAGAAGAGGAAGATGGGATACACAACGAGACCTTTGCGGTTTGGAGGCTGACTGTCTGCCAGGAAAGCTGTAGATGCTGGCGAGAAAGAAAAATACTTGAAATGTAAGCAGCATAAAACTAAAAGCCCAAGATCCCTGCAGATGTTAACAATTTTGAATTAGGATCTTAATTGCAATTACGTTGCAAGAGAAAACAGTCATCCATTGCCCAATACCAATGGTCTATAAACCCCAATTAAAACTTTCTTTATCACATAGAAAGACAAATGCGGATTAACACTCTAAACAATAAGACGTAACAGATTAAGAGCAGGAAAAATAATGCAAATGCATCTGCATGAAATAAGCATTGTCCAATAGTATTTATAATATAGATCACAGAATAAAACACCGAGGAGTCTCACATGTAGTTTAATAGTAAATTATCATCCTCCTGCCAAAGACAATCTGCATATGACCATGAAAATCAACAGAAGCACAGCCAGAAGCTGAATCTCTGCCAGCACAAGAACTGGAAGAACTATTTCTGCAATGCTTCAGCAGCCTAAGTAACACTTTGAACTATTATATCCATTAGCTTTACCCAACAGAATGCATGCAGATCTACCCCTTTAAGTGTCACACTACTCAGTATGCAACAGCATTATAATACACAAAAGTACTCACCTAATGTTGACCAACCAAACATAGCCACTACTACAATAAGACGAATAATGAAGCTGATGGTCCCAGAGCCTGCCAGCAGCACCAGCCTGCACACCAGCATTGCTACCGTCAGGGGCATGATGCAGTAACCCAGAACACACAGGCTCTGAAAAAACGATCTGGAAAAGAGCAACAGAAAAGGGGAAAAAAAGTAGTCAAGCCCAAGCATTGCAGAAACTCCCCGTGTGGGAGCATTTTAACTGCTACTAAATACACCAGTACTCACATAGTTCCTCCAAGCAGCTTTGAGTTTAGTGTGATGACAACTGCACCAAACCAGATGATGACAAAGACCTCAGCAAACTGAGGCCCTCCATCGTCTTTACTATCTGCTGATCCACCCTGAAGCATCCTGTCGTAGGTAACAGATAAAAGGAGTCACTTGTAATCAGTAACTGAATTTTCATAGGCCTGGAGTAGATAACATGAGCTCAAAACATTAATCCTCAGTTAGGCTGCAGACCAATCATTTTTTATTTGTTTTCTTATTTTCAGTAATATCCTCAATTTTGTATAGGAAAGAAAGATGATTGTGGCTCAGCTGAGGGCATTTCAGTCCACTTTTTTAATCTGAGGACTGTGTAAGCATATAGGAAATAAAAATAGAGAACAGGCTAGAAGATGAAACCTGAACTACCAAAAGTTTGGTAACCTTTCAAACCAGGCAGCACAGTACATGATAAAACACGCAAGCCTTACAGAAACCTTGTAATAACTACTGGAAATGAGCAACACAAAGCCTGGACAAGTGAGCACACGCTGATTTAAATATTTAAATTACACCCCTTATATCTGCTAAAGCTTCACCAACATTTTACTGCATGGCTTCTGTACCTGGGTACAAAAGTGTGCCACAGTTAGCTGACAGATCTTACCAGGACTTCCCTCCCACCCAGGCAGACCTGCACACATATGCTCCAGAGAAGTCACCATCACTCCCCATCTACAAACTACTACAATAGCCTCTCAGCACGTACACTGCAGCTCTGAGACAAAGGGTTTGGCCAGCAGGTTAGGGTCAAAGTCAGTCAAATGCATTAGAACCAAGGACAATGTGAACTGGACGAGGTACCTTTCAGTACAGGCATTCCTAAGACAGGGAACTAGGAAGAGTTCGCCCTTAAATCCTAATTGTAAAGATGGGAGGTCCCTAGCAGGTTTAAAGCATCACAAACATGTTTCATTAGAAAATCTAAACAAGCTGCTTGCAGAAGACCAGAGAAGGATCAGATGAACTTAATTTCACACATGTAATCAGAACTTTTAATTTCTCATTTCTCAAATGTGAAAGACTAAAAAAACCCAAATCCACACACCATAAATACTTACAGTGCAAGTGAGACACAAAGCACCAAAGGGCCCCAAAGATCCCCTGTAGGGAAAGGAAAAAATAAAGTTGTAAGTATCATAGCATGACACTCCGTTTCATTTTCCTGGGAGCAATGAAATACCTTTTCCAACTCCCAGTGTGTCCTTTCCCATATTACACTTCCTTATAATTTCCTTATATAGCATGCCATAATCTAAAATTATGTATAAATATATAAATGTATAAACAAATTAAATTATATGTATATTATATGTATAAATAAAACATTTATATATATATACATAAACAAAATAGGTATAAATAAATAATGTATAAGTTATGTATAAATATAATGTGTACAAATACTATATGAATCAATATGCCAGCTGCTGAAGAAAACTGCCCTGCATGTTGTGGCACACTTTTAAGAGTTTTGGTAACACTCCAAGTTTTCATATTTCCTATTCAACGTTCTACAAGAACAGAAAACATGGATCAGACACTTCTGAATCCCTGTTCCACTAAACTCTTCCCACGCAGGCTAAGCCTGCTGACAAAACATCCTTTGAAGATGCTGAATGTCATCTTATACGTACAGTCTCTGAGGAGTGCACTACTCTTCTTTGGATACATGACATGGACAAATTTCTTCCCAACAGCCTTGAGATCTCTCATCTGAAACAAAGAAGTTCTTTAATTTATCCTTCCATAACAATTACAGTCCAAAACTAAAACCAGAAAGACAGAAGTAAAAGAGTACTGGTGTTAAATCTAAACAGCATCCAACCCAAAAATCACTGCAGCATCCTTCACAACAAGCACTGCCTATTTTTTTTGTGCATTCCTTAACAACCACAATATTTTATACATTTAATAACACCCAATTAAGAACAATAGTTAGTTTGCTCCTCTAGGAAAAGAAAATTAATGAAAAACCCTGTTAGTTAAGAGAGTTTTCTCCCAAGGTCCATCTGTTGCCTTTGCAGATTTTGAGATCACAGAGAAACTTTGGGACCGTAATTCAAGTATTTTTTGAGCTGCAAGAATTTGTTTTAAATGGCTAGTTCCAAAAAATAAAATCCTCAAACTTACAATGAAGTCAAGCTATGCAAAAATACAGGTTTTGCATAACAGCTGGCCAAAGATACCAGCAAAACATGTGTTTCGCATTAGGCAGAGACACAGACTCACAATTGTATCCTTAACGGGCTCGTCCAATGTGGAGTAATCTTCGTCAGAAGAGCGAGATCCGACAGGAACAGTAATCTCCCCTTCCACTGGGATATCTCCGGATATTGACACATCTGCAAGACCTGCAAACTGAATAGGTTTTAAAACCTTTAGAAAGAAATACAAACCAGTTCACATTCACTTCGAATGTTTTTCAGCTGAGTTCAGGGTGAAAGCTCAGAATTCAAAGATACAACACTTAATGACACAGTCACAACAGTAGGGTTCAGCTGCTGTCTGCCTGATTTAAGCATTTTGCAGTAGTACAAGCAAAGCATTTCTTCAGTAACTTCCAGTAACCTGCACTCTACCTTACTTAGGCAGCAGCAACTAACGGAAGTAAAAAGCTTCTCTGTGTTGTGATGTAATGCCCGACAGCCGTACGGGTGCACCTGAGTACACTGCCTTTCAAAGGCCCCAAGGGGAAACAACACACGACAAATGGCACAGACATCGACCGCCCAAGCACAGCGTCAAGGCTGCCAATCGCACTGCCAACAGAACTGATCTCCTCCACCCAAGCTTAAAGCGCTCACCCGGTGGTGGATGCAAACAGAACAGCCCGACCAATTCTACAGTAAATTCGGAGGCAGATCAGGCAGGCGGTACGCGGCACGGAGGAGCCCGACGGCTCCAACTCCCCGGCCCTGCTCGCTAGTGACGCGGCGGCCTCCCAGCGCCCCGCACCTCAGCGGCGGCCTGCCACTGCTTCAGCGCCCCAGGCCCACCCGGAGCCCGGGGCGGCCGGAGCTGCCCCGGGGCCACTCAACCTTCCCCCGCCGGGCCCTACCGCACGCCCGGCCCCGCAGCCAAGCGCCACCGCCCCGCCTGAGGCCCGCCGGGACGGACCGTGTGCTCCCGCCCGCTACCGCGACCCCGCTCACCAACGGTCCCCCGTCACCGCTCCCCTCCGCTGCCGCCATCTTGGCTTCACAGGCGACGTGGAGGCCGCGCTACGTCATGAAGGCGCGCCTCGTCGGGCCGCCGCGTCACGTACGGCCAGCACGTCCATGGCAACGCAGGCGGGGCCGCCTCCCTCCCGGTGGGGCGGCCTGGGCGGGGGGAAGGCGCCGTGACCGCGCCCGCCCGGCCCGCAGCGCCGCGGTGCCGGCGGCGGGAGGAGCGGCCGCCGCGGAGCCATGGGGCACCCGCCGCTGGAGTTCAGCGACTGCTACCTGGATAGCCCCGACTTCCGAGAGCGGCTCAAGTGCTACGAGCAGGAGCTGGAGCGGACCAACAAGTTCATCAAGGAGGTGATCAAGGACGGCAACGCGCTCATCGCCGCCATACGGGGTGAGCGGAGCGGCGGGGGGCGGCGGCAGCCTGCAGCCCAAGGGGAGCGCGAAGGGGCGGGAAGGGGCCGAGGGCCGTGTCCTGCCGTTCGCTGCCTGTGCTGGCGATGTGCGGTTCGGTACGGCGGTGCCGGGGGTGCTCCGGGCACGGGGTCCCTCCGGGGCTACAGCGGGAGCAGCGGAGCAGGCAGCGGCTCTCGCCTTGGCGGAGCGGGATTTCTCCTCCAGCATCCCCCTGCAGATGTGTTCCTGCAGCCCGCTCCATCGGCTTGCTCCCACCCCACCCAGCCTCATGGCCCCGTACCGCGGCGCTTGGCAGCGGCATTCGTCGCTGGCATCGTTTTGGGGTGGGCTGGCAGGCCATGGGCAGTGAGCTCTGCCTCCTGCCATGCCTGGACATCTGTCCACAGCTGGCCCTGTTCGGCGAGAGGTCGGCCTCCATCCTTCATCCTTTTATCATTCGTTGTCCCGGTAAGCTGGGCTGGCACTGCCGACGTTGCAGGGCTCCCGCTGTTGAGCCGGCTGAGCTTTCCCAGGCATCGCCTTTGTTTCATCTTGTCTTTGGGGAAGATGCTTGGTTATTTTGCTTCACTAAAGAACGGGTGGAGTTTGGCGGGGCAGAACGGTCACCTCTTACCTGCTTCCCTATGGTGGCTTGCAGTGACAAGAGGGCTCCGTCCAGAAACAGGCTTTAGTCCTGCATTTGTTGTGCGTGTTTTATTCTTTCTCTTAAGAATGTTGGGATTTTTTTTCCACTTAAACGTCAATTTCAGTGTTGGCTTTGAGGGAGTTACTTGCTCAAAGGTACTGACTGAGACCATTGAGTCCCTGGACCAGGTTGTGTCACCTGAAACCAGGAAGTCCAACGTGTGTAACGCTTTACTGACCTGCTTGTCTGTTTAGAATTTGATTTACCTCCAAGAGCTTTAGATACGATTTCCCTGTGTCGTCTCTCACATCTTCTCTGGTTATATAAATGTGCATTAAAATATGGCCAAAAGTGTAGGAGAGCGCAGCAGCTACAAGCACTGTGCTTGCATCAGGCCAAGTGAAGACAAATACAAAGCCAGCGGGGCAGACTCTGATCATACACTGTTTTTCTTGCCAGCTGGTGGGTTTTCAGTTGGTATTAATAGGTTTAGCTGCTGCCCTTTTGTTAAGAATAATTCAGAGCTTCCTTGTTATCAAGGCCATGGCTGGAATAGCTTATGTTTGCCTGTCTGGAAAACAGTGAAGACAAAAGCTAATGGGACTGAACCAGCAGACGTCACAGGGCTGCAAGACCCTAAAAAAATACCAACCCCAAATCTCTGCTTAGTCCAGGGGAAAAAAAAAATATCAAAGGGATTTTAACAAGCCTGCTTGTTCATGTAAATGCTTTGGGTTTTCTTCATCACTTTGGTCTAAGCCATTTCCCTTTTTAGTATTTGTAAACCCTAATGCTGTGCTTGGAGTAGGGATGTGAGGGGATTTTGCTGGATCAGCAGGCCCATACCAGTGAGACTGGCCAAAGAGGAAGGGAAGAACTAGAAGGAAACCGAGTACACCCAGACAGCAGAGATAACCCCCCAGAGCTGAAGAAACCCCACATTTCTTGCCTGATATGCTGTGGGGTGTTTTGTGCTGTTATCTTGTGCGTCTGAACTAGCATGGCTGGGGAGGGTGCTGCAGCTGATACCCGCCTGGGCTTCCATCAGCTCCTGGCATTCACCCCTTCCCATTTAGCTTACAGATAACTTTAAAGGAATTTTAGGCTCTCCTCTCAGAATCCTGTCCATATGGAACTGTGAACATGAATCTGGGGCTACTCATGGTCCCTTGCCTGAACACCTTGGGCTGGTGGCTGGTAAATCCTGCTTCCTTGTTGTTTTCGTTTCTGCCACTTGACAGCACGGTGGATGTGGCCCTTGGCTGCTGGGACATACAGCTGGTGGTAGTCCCACCAGGAGAGAGTTCTCTTTAAGGAGAGAGGGTTAAGTATGGTGATTATTCTGACTGGACCTGTCTCTTACCTGTCCAGAGGTGTTGTCCTCCATCGTACAACTTTAGTGGGTGAGGCACCCTCCCAGCTAAACCTTTGGCCAAACTGTCCCAGAGCATTGACTCACTGCACCGAGTCCAGCCCTCTGGTGACTTTACAGGAGTATATATTTTCTATATGTTTGCCTATTAATGAATGAATACACTCCAATGTAAAATTGAAAGCAAATCAATCCCTGTTTTGCTGAGGCTTATCGGAACGTCAAGCACCTGCTGTCTCCAGCTGGCGGGCTCCTCAGCCTGACAGGGTGATGGAAACAAAAGACTCGTGTGCAGCATGGACTGTCTGCATACAGCACATGCAGCCAAGTGAATTATGCGAGCGCAGCAATACTCATGCAGGCTACCAGGAAAAGGAGTTCAGTTCCCCACTGCGGGAAGACAGGGTCTGTTGGGCTTTATGTGATCTGCTGTAAAAACAGGCCACAGAGGCTTGAAAGCCTGAGACTGCTCAAAGTTGTCTTTTATTTTCCGCTTGCCCAGTAATAGGGAAAAAAGTGAGTGTGACTTTACGTGGAGTCCACAGGACCTGCAGTTCACATGCTGGGTGATTTCGAGTTGTCTGTGGCATGAGGAGCATGTACGTTGTTCTTTTCTTGGTTGCTGGCAGTGTTCTTGCTGAAAGCGTCTGGCCTATTAAGGTTGTCTCAACCTACCTGCTGGGTAGTAAAATATTAGGAGTGTTCCAGTGGAGTCTTTAGAGGCTGAAAACACCTCCCCCCCCCAACTTGGTATCACTTTATTGTGTCAGCAGCACAATCGAGGCATCCTACCTCTAGTAAGTGCTATTTCTGGGACTTCTGTTGGAGATATTTTGGTATCTTTTGGTGGTTTTTGAGCTCTTTTACTTCTAGATTAATTCACCACAATCGTATTTGTAGCAAATTAATACATGAACTTGAGTGCAAATTTTTTAAATGAGTCTTTCAAATAGCATGGGATTATAAATGCAGAATACTAAATGCTTCCAGTGGTGTGTGCCTGGCTGGTAGGTGTGCTGTTTTAATTGAATGGATTGTTTGTTTTACAAATGCACGTACTCTCTTCCATTTCCCAGTTTTAAACCCACTCACTCCATCCTATTCGTGGAGATGGTGAGTGGTGAATCACTGCAAGTGTGACTTGGCTGTGATGGGCTGCGGGAGCTGTTTTAAGGCAGCCATGTCTTTACTCCAGACTTATTCACAGTGTTTATACCCAGCAGTCTTGTTTGTCTTGCTGTCACCCAGACCTTTCCTCAGAGGAGAATTACTGTTGATCTGGATGAAGTGTTGTTCAATCCCTTTCCCTAAGTGATTCCCACGTGTGGCATGCATTTGTGTTCATGCACACGGCGCATTCTCTTGGCGAATAGTGAAGACTTGGGGAGGACCCTGCTCATGGGTGCCCATTGTTGTCCTGGAGAGGAGGAGAGGAGTGTCCCTGATTCCCACAGGAGGTGTCATGAGGTGGAAATCTGCCAGGGGTTGTCTCTACCTGGAGTCCATTTGCCATCATAGCTCGGGAGCATTGCTTCTGCTGGATGCTGAGCTGAAATTGCCACTCGTGAGCTCCCAGATGGGGACAAAAGGGCAGTGGGGACCCACAGCAAGGGGGATGTGGGCCTTGGTCAAGAAATCTATCCACTTCTGAGCTGCTGCCCTTCTTCTGACTTCATCTTCCCTGCACGTTTCTAATGAAAAGCTGAACTTCCCTTCCCCATCCCAAGTTGAGACTGGAGCGAGCCATGGGTGAGTGCTTTCCCAGGCAGCAGGGCTTCCCCACCCCTTGCTCCTCCGCAGAGAGAAGCATGAGGGAGTACTCTACCTGGCACAGTTGTTCAGGGGCCAGCACTGGAGGAGGGAGGCAGGAAGGGGGACTTCAGCTCCCCTTAGTCTCCTGGTGCCTCAATTTCTCCTTCTGCAGAGCAGGTAGTGCTTCGGAGCTTTGTCTGAAGCAGGGAGCTGTCAGCTAAATGAGGCATAAACTTGGGTACTTTAAACCGCTCTTGACCTTTAACGGATTATGAGAAACTGGTTCCACCTCACCCACACAACTCTAAGATGTTACCAGCTGAAATACATAAAATACTGTATGTAAAGGCCCCCTGAGTGCCATGCATCTCCCATGTCCTGATGTGGGTCCTTATGCAACTACAGTCACAAAGTTGCTGCCTTTAAGTGTGGGTTTTTTTTCTCTCGTTGACTGACAGCTGACTGTCAGCTGATGTATAGTTGACTGTCATGACAGATGACTATACGTGGGATGCTGTAAGATGACAAAGTATAAGGTTGTGCCAAATGAGGAATTGCACTGACTTAAAGCAGAGAAAAATATTGTTCATTTGTAATACTCTTGGGTGTGAAAGTCAATGATAACAAACAAGTTACTTTGAGTCAGAATTGTGAGTTATTTTTACTGTAAAGTTGGCTGCATGCTTTCATTTTTGTGCCAGGAATATGCAGTCTCTGGCAAGGCCAAGTGATGATGCTGATCCCATACGTTGGTCCCATAAGGTGCTGAAGCCCATCATGGCCTGGCCCTAGCTGGGAAGGGAGAGGTGCTGGCAGGTTAGCCTTGCTCCCTGGGACTGGGCTGCCTGGCTGGTGGCTTTGTTCCTCAGTGCTGTTCTGAGGCTGCTTCCCTTGCACCTGAGAGCCAAGCTCAGAACTTGTGGCCCCTGTGGCAACTGCAAGGTCTGCGTTGCTTGGAGTATAGCAGGCTGGTGCCCGTCCCTCTGACTGGCCTGGGCCTGGCATGGGGACAGCTTGTTTGTGGCCCAGAGCTCACAAGCCCATTCCGTAGTGGTCAGCACCCGCCTTGGTGCAGACAAGGCTTGCTGCTGGCTGCTCGAGGCTGCAAGCAGGGATGTCAGAAGAAAATGACTGTGTAGCATCACAGTTGTAGGGATGACTTCTTTACAGCATTTTCTTTCTGTGGCTCAGTATGTTGGGTTTTTGTTGGTTTTTTTTAATCTCTCCTGCTCACTGTGCTCTGCTGTGTGTGTGGTAATGCAAACCCATTTATTTCCCCCAGTCTTTGATCTTCTCTCGCAATTATATTTCGAATGAAGTTTGAGAAATGTCAGGTTGAGGCTCTTTTTATTAATGTATGAGTGCTGCAATGGTGTAAACTCTCCTTTGAAGTTGGAAGAGCTTTGAGTTCTCATGCAGTGTTGCAAATGTGGTTTTGAATTTGATTTCTGTACTGTGTAAAGCTTCACAGGTTGCCTCTGTCTTTGCATGTCAGTTAACCAGCCTCCCCAGGCAGTGCAAGTGTTTTATCATGGAAAGATAACATTATAAAGGAATGTGTAGAGGCGAGTATGCCTGCAAAGCACACAGCAGTCTTGAGCAAAAGGGACTGGGTAGGCTTTTCTCCATGAACAGGGTTGAATGGGGGATCCAGTCAAGGTCCTGCTGTTATCCTCCCTGCAGGTCCAGCGCTGCAGTCCTCAGCATGACAGACCTGTTCTCAACAAGTTTCTGTGCTGTTAGAG